TTTAAATCAAACTCCACACGTCTCCAAGGTCAGACTAAAATCAAACTCCACACGTCTCCAAGGTCAGACTAAAATCAAACTCCTTACGTCTCCAAGGTCAGACTAAAATCAAACTCCATACGTCTCCAAGGTCAGACTAAAATCAAACTCCATATGTCTCCAAGGTCAGACTAAAATCAAACTCCACACGTCTCCAAGGACAGACTAAAATCAAACTCCACACGTCTCCAAGGTCAGACTAAAATCAAACTCCACACGTCTCCAAGGTCAGACTTAAATCAAACTCCATACGTCTCCAAGGTCAGATTTAAATCAAACTCCACACGTCTCCAAGGTCAGACTAAAATCAAACTCCACACGTCTCCAAGGTCAGACTAAAATCAAACTCCTTACGTCTCCAAGGTCAGACTAAAATCAAACTCCATACGTCTCCAAGGTCAGACTAAAATCAAACTCCATACGTCTCCAAGGTCAGACTTAAGTCAAACTCCATACGTCTCTAAGGTCACACTTAAATCAAACTCCATACGTCTCTAAGGTCACACTTAAATCAAACTCCATACGTATCCAAGGTAAGACTTAAATCAAACTCCATACGTCTCCAAGGTCAGACGTAAAATCAAACTCCACACGTCTCCAAGGACAGACTAAAATCAAACTCCATACGTCTCCAAGGTCAGACGTAAAATCAAACTCCATACGTCTCCAAGGTCAGACGTAAAATCAAACTCCATACGTCTCCAAGGTCAGACGTAAAATCAAACTCCATACGTCTCCAAGGTCAGACTAAAATCAAACTCCATACGTCTCCAAGGTCAGACTTAAATCAAACTCCATACGTCTCCAAGGTCAGACTAAAATCAATTTTAATCAAACTCCATACGTCTCTAAGGTCACACTAAAATCAATTATTACATGGTTGATAGCGTTTTGACTTACAACTCTGTGGAATTCACAACCTTAAATTCAACTTCCCGATTTAATCGATCGCCTCTCAAAAACCTCTCAAACATTGTTTTTTAACCACATATAAGTCGTTCGCCATGCTTAGTTATTAGTCGATGAATAAGACACTATTTAGCAGAAAAATCCCTATCGGTGAAAAATGCTGGCAGTCAGTTCACCTGCTCGTGCTCGGGATTCATCGTGTGACAAATATAGACAGATATTAATGAAAACTGGAGTTTCCATGGCAAATGGCATTGTATGTACAGAGCTGTTCGCCAGTGAAAGCCAGTGTGTTGACTATATAACAGCTCATAACACTGTGAAAACCTATAAGGGTCATTTTACATTGCAGTTTTCTTCATCATCAAAATGTTTTGTCGCGCGGTCACAAAAACAAGCATCCGATGTCTATTTTCTTTGTATTTAATTCACTTAAAATCCTTAGGAGACATCTTACACCAAATAATAAAACAAAACTTAAACAGCCGTGTTCATGTAATCGTTAACCCTCAAGGTTGAATTTTAATGAAATATCGTATGAAAAATTTTTTTGTTGGTGAATATACTTCGTTTGGATATTTATGATTTGTTATAGATTCACAGTGATACAGGATAACAATGGAATTTAAAGTGTTTGATGTACGAAACGAAGCTCCAGTCATATTAAATATTAAATAAAACAGCTGATTAAGTCAAGAAAGACCACATGATCCGAATACGTTTCCGAAACATATCAATTGTAAGGAACAATTCTCTGTAGTTATTAAATACACAAATACTACATATTTATTAAAATTGTTTCTGCCTGTTATAACTGCAGATTAAAAGGCACGTGTTACTACCTACTATCTGTGTATATCTTGCGTATTTGTTCCAATAATACATATCATCATTTGTAAAGAAATGAGTGCTTCGTTAATTTAATTTTAATCGGTTGTAAGTTGGTGTAGTATGAATTGCGATTCGTCATAATTTCTAGACATCAATTGGATTATAAAAAAAGGATATCATTTAAAGTCTCTAGATTCTCGAATTATGAAATCATCGATTAATCTAGACATATCAGCATGTACATCGTTTTTCTACTCGAAAGGAAAAAAATGACTATTGGAATTGTAAAAAGAATTCATTTCAATATGTATGTAGCACTTTAGATATAACTTACATAAGTAAGTATCGACGGAATATATATCATATAAGTAGCTTCAAAAGCTCACATATCAACCACACAATAGCAGTTTCCTGTAAATTGTTGTAAGGGCTGTTTCGACGGCATTAAACCTGTGACGTCACAGATGTGGTCTACCCATATCGAGGCGACACCGTTGTGTCAAATAAGTGCATTTCAGATAAAATCACAATGACTGGGACACGGACCTAACTACGACCTTAGCTCTTTCTTGTTTTTTACTGTTTAATATGAAGTATTTTAAAGCTAGATATAGCCAACCAATCAGAGTCTGTTTTATTTCGATCACCATTAAACGTCCATGGCCAAGACTGATTTAAACATGTTTTATTATCAGCATCAGATAAATGGATCAGAGACAAGTTCTAGCAACTTATGAACCCTTCTCCATAAACAAAATTACAAATAATTAATATACTGCACGTGACACATATTTATACTATAAATATGAAGATAAGTAATTCGTAGACGTACAATTGTAAGTTTAAATCATTTTGTCAAAAGGAGGAAAAGATGAAATGATAGGTTAGAAAGAAAAGAAGAGAAAAAGAGATTTTATATCAATTCTATATCAATTCAGTGCCGACTGGAAACAGTTCTTAATTAGGTAGTGTTAAAACGCTTTTCATTGTTTTATAAACTTTCGGACAGATTTAACAATATTAAAATTAGTTTCATAGAAGTAAGCACCACTGTCGCCCCATAAGATAGTTTCTATGTTAAAATCTACGTCTAAAAACAAGACTGTTTAGTATATATCTTGGTATGTTCTTACTGTCAGACATTCTCTTCCACAGATACTTTCAATTACACAACCCCGCTGAAAATAACCTTCAAATATATTTTATAGTTAAAATGGTTTCTGAGTTATATCCACAAAACTACGGATACAATGATTTCACACCACGCCAATAATTCTTACCTTTTCACAAAATACAGTGACAAAATATGGACTGGTCATCCTCCCGTTTTACACTGTTGTATCTATCAGAATTGTTTGTAAATAATACGACAATAGAAATCACCATGATCTTTTTTTCAAAATCTTCCTAGATTGTAATTTTACGAATATATGGTTTCCAGGAATTAAATATCCCTTGAATATACCTCAAGTTCACATTCTCTAATATAAAAAAGTAATAAAAATAAAAAAAAAACTATTGATGCCATCATAAGTGTATGGATCCCAATTTACTTTATACTGTTTATCAGGATTCTCTACCACTCGACCTTCAGATTTCCTAAACATAAGACGAGACCAATATAAAAATCAGAGCAAAAAGTTTAGTTGGTCATTTCTTAAATTTGCCGGAAGGGGCTGATCAATCATTTTCCATCATTTGTACGATATCCTCAGACATCACGTGGTATATTGTTTTCTAACAGAAAGTGATCAAACAGACAACGAACTTGAGCGGGTTTTATATAAACAATGTGTCGAACAGACGATCGATAGGGCGTGGCGAAAACTGGAAGCTGTTAATGAAACAAACACGATTAATCAGGTCCTGTTGATACGAGA